TTTTTTTTTTTTTTTTTTTTTTTTTTTTTTTTTTTAATAGAACATATGTGTAATATTGACTCTGGTCGGTCTCTTCTTCCCCTTCTTCTTCTTCTTCTTCGTCTTTTTCCCCGCTTATCTTTCGAACACTGATGAAAATAAGGTCCTCTTAGAACTACAGGAATTCAAGAATTCACGACCAACTGCAATGAGCGTAAACTCTAAAGTATCTTGCTCTACGCTCCGGCTTTTATCACAATGACATGTGCATACATATTTTATACTCGGAGAGAGAGTTTCAATTTGGAAACGCGCGTTTATTACTCGGATATGTAAAATCTTTGCTCCAGTCGTGTTTAGCCATGCGAAAAATTGAAAATTTCGTTTCGCGGAAAGAAACTGAAGGAACACGCCAGTTTCTCTCAATGTTTCTTCTTCTTTTTTTTTTTTTTTAACCATAACCGTTTGATAAATATCTTCGTACTCGTTTAAAAACCGACTTACTATCGTAAACTACAGGCAAACAATTGTCAAAGATTAAAACGCAGTTATAACACAGTTACCTCAAGTTTTTCGTTCGCCGATCGATCGAGAAACGCGAATCCTTTGCGTAAAAAGGAGAATGCTCGGCAAGTGTGTGTAACACTGTTTTGGTACGTTGCACCGTGCTCCGAATCGTTTCGCATCGATTGCCTTTGGTTAACAAGGCCGCACGAAAGTATGAAAAGGAAAGTAGGCAGATTACAAATGCCGATACGGCCAGGCCACATTGATACACGTCACACGAAACATCTATTACATCATATAGTAACTGGAATATCTGGGAGTGATTATATCGATTTATCTCGGATACGAATTCAACATTGAAAAATGATCAGGGACAAAGGATTCGTCGAAACAGGGAAACGGAGAGAGTTTTTTTTCTTACGACGTTACGATGAAACGCCGCGGAATAATCGTCCGTCTACGCAATTGATATTTTATCGATCTGAAAGTTTTTTCTCGATTCCGCCTCCACTCTCTCTCGTAATTGCTTTGCAATCGATTTCCAACTGTGTGTGTGTGTGTGTGACTCGTACGATTCAGAAACGATCGAAAATCCGAATCGTCACGTTTTACTCCTACACGATCTCCTCGGAATCTCGAATGTTTTGCGTCATTTTCGATCTCGCCGCTCCCGTGGTGATTTCGTGCTCGTGACCCGACTTTCAAAAATCAGCGACTGACTCTGAATGACTCTCGTACGGTTCAAAACGGAATCTAGCTCGGCAATGCTCGTAGAACCTCGAAGAATCTTTTTTCATCGATCTTCCTTTCGTATTCGCGAAAATTTCAATCGAGATCGCGCAAAATCAGATAAAGAACGCGCCAGTCCGAGGGTAATTGGATATGTGCACGATGAAATTTTATTCCCCTCCCGATACCATGAAAAATTATTACCAAAATAATAATCTTTAAAAAAGAATTAATAAATTATATAATTTTTACTACTGTTGATTAATACTAAAAATCATAATTTGAAAGATAAAGTTATAATATTATATAAATAAATTTGTAGTTTGTCCCATAAATTTTTTTATATAATATAATAAAAAAATAAATCGTATAACATTATAATATAATAATATAAATAACAATATAATATAATAATAATAATAATAAAATAAATAATATAATATATTTAATTAATTATTATTATATTAAATTTATTTAAAAATATAATATTATAATATAATAATAATATAATATTATATTTAATTAATTATTATTATATTATAAATTAAATTTATTTAAAAAAAACTAAATATTAATAAATACGACAAATATTTAATTTCTTAATAAATTTAGAAATTAAATGTTTGTCGTATTTATTAATATTTAGTTTTTTATACGTGCAAAGCGGAAAGCCGCATCACGGATAGCGATCGATAAGCGCTTCGCGGTCCACCGTTCCGCTTTGAGTTTGCATGTTAAAACTGCAAGATTTGAATATTATCGGCGGCGATCGAATGGCATGGCCTCGCGGAACCCTTCGAATTTACCCACACCGTGATCGAGAACTTTGTCTCGAGATTTTAGCGGCAGAACGACAGTTCATGAATATGTACACTCTAAGAAACTTTCTTTCCCTTCCCATCCCCCCTTCTTTTCTATTTTCTCAAGTTCAATTAAGAGAGCTTCTTGTGAAATTCGACTTCTCGCCTCGAAGATTCCGGTTTGAACTTGCCCCGTTAACATTAGAACCACCAAGATGGCCGACACGACCAGTTCGCAATTTCTCGTAGAAGTTTCATCAATTTGCACGAAACGTTCATCGCTCGTTTCTTTCATTTCGTAATTAAGAGCTGTGAACGTATCGTGAAGTACGTTTCGATTTGCGCGATCTATCGTGAAATTCGACTTCTCGTTGCGAACTTGCCCCGTTAACACTAGAACCATCAAGATGGCCGACACGACCGACTCGCGACCTCTCTCGTGGGAACTTCGTCAATTTACAATACACGTTTGCACGTTTAGATATTCTTCGTGACGTACAAACGAAGCCTGACGTCTTTGTAAACTTTTCTCCTCCTCATCGAGGCTTTACAAATTTATATATATATATATATATATATCCTCGTCGTCGGTCAGTTCTAGCGTCAATGAAACGGAATTTCGTTCATCGGCGAGGGTGTATTCGCCATCGATACAATTGAATAAATTCAAGAAATTCAAGAACGTTTCGCGAACATTATCTCTCTCGTGCGACTTAAAGAGAAAATTCGTCTGTTCGTTTGTCATTACCTTTCTACGCGTGTCGGGGATCACCACGATCCGAATTTCTTTTTCCTCTTTTTTTTTTTTTCCTTTTTTCCAAATCACACGAAGTAACGGGGCCGGTTGCAGTTGCGAGCCTGAGTTTGCAGGATCATACGAGGAGCTCCTTGAAGAAGTCCTCGGCAAGCAAGTCCTACAAATAATCGTCCACCCGGTCGTTCTCGTCCGGTGGGCTGGGCTCGCTGACGCTGAGTATAGGCAGGCCGAAGTGTTGCACCTCGATGCTCGACTCCGGCGTGCGTCTCGTGTAGTCGCAGCTCTTCGAGTGCCGTTCGATACCGGTACGCCGATGATGATGATGATAGCGCGGGGGCAGGCGGGCGTCGGTATCGCCGGATCGCCGATAACACCTGCGGATTTCACCCAACAACGTGGACTTAGTCGATCGAACGATTCGTTTCTGGAGCTAGGGCCGAAAATACGCTCGGAATTTGGACGAATTCCCCATCGAAATGATGACGGGACGATCGATCGTTTCGGCTATCTTATCTCTACGAATTATTTCCAGACTGCGGACTTTTATGCATCCGAAGGGAAAATCCAAAGGTGCAGAATTGATATGGTAATACGTGTAAAACTATTCATAAGTACAGTTGCTTTTCACAACGCTGCACGCAAAGACAAATTTTCTATCTAGGCTCTAGCTTTTGCACGTGATGTGAAACAAAAAAAAAAAAAGAAAAAAAAAAAAATGTATGAAATATTCGCAGTACAAAGTACTTTTCACGACACGTTTTTGTTTCTATCTGGGTTCGATTCTTTTTTCTTTACTTATCACACTTCCGAAAAATACGATTTCGCGTGAAAATCCGCAGTCTGATTATTTTGATTCAATTTGACTTCAATTCGAACTTAATTTAGACCCATGTCGCACAATTTTCAACAAAATAGCCGAACGTGAGGTGATACACGTGAAATGTAAAAACATTTTTTTTTTTTTTGGAGAAAGAAAAGAGGGAAAAGGAATCACGACCATGCGCTCTTCAACAGTTTCTAGCTATTTATGCCAAAAAGCCATTAGCTTATGGAAATCCTTTAGCGTGAATATCACGAGGTTGTACTGAATTCCTTCTGGAGGACGTCCACTTATCAATTAGACAACGAACGTCGCTTCCAAATTATTGCATTGGTGCATTCAATTTCCATTGTGAACATCGCCCGATCTGAAAGCATCAGATTTGTTTTCCGTCAGAATATTTGAAAGGGAGGGTCTACTTACGAAAAGGGTGTTCAACACAATGGTTCTTTACACAAGGAAGTTACTAGATCAGTATACAAGGTGGGAAAGAAAAGTCTGTCCGATGAATTCTACATCTTCGATTTCACAAAAATATATGTTAAGAATTGATCTTGAATTTCAAGGTCAAAAAAATTTTCTTTTTCTTGCATTGTTTCCTACTTATCACGAACGGTAAAATTTTTCCAAAAAAAAAACCACAGCGCGCAACCTAATGGTTCTTTTGAAAAAGTTTCCGAATCATTCAACGCTGCGGACGCGTGCGTGCTAACAGCGACTTTATGGTTCCATAGGACGCGTAGATGTCTATATTGCGCGATGTTGTATACTTCGAATAATGTTAACTGTTTTATCGTTCGATTATTTAGACTCACACTGATGCTACAACTATGATAAATCAAGCGTTGGTGAAAATTAAGTACGAGAATTACGTAAAATAGACATAGGCATAAAATAGAATCATAAAGTCGCTGTTAGGACGCACGTTAAGAAACGCCGCGCGTTATCGAAGTCGACACTTTTCAAAATAACTTTCAAATTTAACAGAAATATAAACTGCTCTTGAAAAATAGAACAATTAACAGTTCTTTTTGGCATAAATAGCTTTATGGTATCAAGTGGCGTACAATTCTGTTTAACACCAAAGCTACGATCAACGATCAAATCATCGGAACGCTCGTCAGAAATGTTCAAGTGAAAAAGAAAACAGAAAAACTGTAAAATACAACAGAATACACAAGAATAACTTTTATTTATATATTTTATAAAAAAATCATTTAAAATATACTGTCTTGCATCTGTAAGAAATCTAACGAGAATTATGAATTAATCATTTCGACGATCGCGACAAATATTATGAGGTCAGGACAGTTTGAAATTTTCAAAAAAATCGATTTTTGTTTTAAATGGTAGTTCGAAGTCCTAGAAATAAGATACAGAAGGTGCTAGTCTTTAAAACGACTTACTTTCGGGTATAATAATAAATTCCGCGAATACGGAATAATTGAATTTGTATCACCGTTTACAATTTTAAGCAGTATTACAAAGTGTAGATCGTGTGATTCAAATATTATTTTTGGTGAATCGAATATTAGGGGACTTGGATTCAANTTTAATTGTGAATTGTAAGAACTGTGAGCCGCGATATACAAGTAAAAAGAAGTAAGTAAAGGATACATATGAAAAATGACGTTCTGAAAACTTGAAACGCGTTTTTCTCGAAACTAGGTTTTTAGAAACGGCGTGCAAGATATCTCGGGATCCAACCAACCGATTACTGTGAAACTTGGTGCGTATCTTTAGCGTAACATTTACTAGGGATCGACGATCGAACATTCTTCAATTTTCAACAATTACGAAAAATATAAAAGAAATACAAAGAAAACGTAGAGATGTTTGGCATAAATTCGATACATTAAAACCAAAAGCTAATTTTCATAATTTTCACAAAAATCAAAATCGTTGGATCGTCAAACCCTAGAGGATATTGTTCACTTTTGAACGTTCTTTGTCCTTTTGTTGCAGCTAATTCTGTTTAGAATCACGCACACCATGATAGACAATGTAAAAAAAAAAAGTTATGCAAAAGGAAAAGTTAAACAACAGCCCACCATTTTTTCTTTTTCAATGTATAACATATACTCTTACGTATAAATACGTACTCTTTTTTTACTTTCTCTTCCTTTACTCTAATACATACTCTAATATAATATAAATATGTACTCTTTTCTTTACTTTACACCTCCAAGGTATTCGTAATTTTTAAGCCTGTCAAAAAACTGTCCTGTTCCTCTCTCGCGTGTTCGAATAAATGAACATTCGCGATCTGACGAACGTAGTTCTGCAACACATTTGTACACAGGCTACGAAGCTACGCCTCGTCCCCTCTTCCCAAGTAAATGGAAATCGCGATGATGGATATTTATTGGCGAAGTTTCTTATCAGCCACGACCGAAATTGCATTTTTTATTGATGCCGCGCGTGCTCGACAGACGATAAATAGTCGGCAGCGTGTTATATCTTAATGCGACCCTGAATGTTAACTTGGCGTGTGACCAAGTTTCGAGGATGGTCTTTAAGGGGGTGAGAGGTATTTGCAGGATGGGGCGACGTCAATTGCGACGACGCGTATATTTATCGCTTGTTGGATGGTATCGAGTGGGTTACAGGCCGCAGATAAAAATACCGTCGTATTTCTTACGCGAGTTCATAGGTGAATGCATTTCGTTCCCGTTGCACTTGAACGTCAAATTTAGAAAACGAATATCGAGTATCGAGCTTCTCGCTAACGAAGCGCGAAAATTTCACTCTCCTCCGCCTTTCCCGATCTATGCACTCTCATCAATGCGAGATCTTGTAAAATTAAGGTGGCAAATTCTAGTGCGAAAGTGCGTGTTTCGTCTAACTTTGTTAGGGAACTTTTTTGCAAAGACACTGTTATACCTTTTGCGGTCAAATCGACAAGGTTTATTTGTACGTATTTCAACGACGTTTCAAAAATTTTTCGGGACGAAAAAAAGGTAGAACTAGTGGCACTGCGTAGTGCTACTCTCGAACGTAGTCGTTAGAAAAGATCGTCTCACGGTGTCCATGAATGATTCCTTTAATTAGTATGAGTTTGGCTATAGCAGGTAACGAAACAAAAGAAAAAAAGTCGATGATTGAAAACGTGGAGACACTTTGAAGTTCGATTATCGATTTTTGCATGTTTCTGTTAAAACTCGGAAAGCCTAAAAAAAAAAAAAAAATATAAAAAATAAAATTTCTTGGCTGACACCAACGTTTTGAAAAACATAGCTTCCAGAGAAATACCTTTAAAGTTTAGTATTGCGTCGTCGCTTCAAACTTAATTTTAGAATTAATTCTAGAATTCTACATGTAAAGTTACAGAGATTTATTTTTGAAACTATGCCCTTAAGAATATGCAAAAAACAGGAAAAGAAAAAAATCAAATTTTTTTTCAAAAGTTCACACTAGAACACCACCTTAAATACAAATGAAACAAATGAGAAAACACTTTCGTTAGTGAACGCTGTTTCACCGAACAATTTACTTTTTCACGCATGTTCGAGATTCGCCTGTGCTTTTAAACTTTCTAACAAAACGCGAAACCAATAGAAAGTTCCGGTTCGTGTTGAATTATTAATTTCTTATTATTATTATTCGATTACTAAATATTTACGATGAAGAAGATTTTAAGGTGCCAGTCCAAAAAGATCGCTACGTCGCTATCGTTTAATAACATTTGCAACGAGAAACGTAAGGGGAAAGAAAGATTCCTTACCGCTCGTCCATGGAAGCTGGCTGTCGCACAGGACACCGAACGTATTCGTGGCTTCCGCCGGCCCGCCATCCACCGAAACGTCGGCCAATGAACGACGACGAGGACGTCACCGGAGAATCCCTGAAACGTTCACAGCAATCCTCTCTTTTTTTCGCAATTCGATCGAAAACGTCTGTCTGCTTTTTTTTTTTCTCCGCCCTTTCCCCAGTTTCTTTTTTTTCTTTTTTTTCGTCCACGAACGACACGTAGCGTTTCATCGCTGACAACGGGCAAAAACTCGCCAGAGCCGCTGATTTCCCACAGGAGCTACGGTAGCAATTATTCCTGCTGTTAAAAATTTTCAATCTCTTCCCTTCCTGCATTATTTCCTCGCGCTCGCGCCGTTGTCTAACGATCCCGTTTTATTCGTGCAAATTGGTGGTTCCGGCTCGCGAAGTAATAGTTGCTCTCCCCGCTCTCCGCGCCCTCCGTGACGAAAATAATTTTCAGATCGAGTCGTTTGATTTAAAAAATTGTTTCGTTCAATTCTGTTGAACGAATATTGTCGGCGGATGTTCGTCTGCATTTTTTTTTCCTTCTTTTGTTTTGTTTTGTTTTGTTTTGAGGGGAGATGGAAAAAATCTGATACAAAACTTCTGAAGCAGAATACTTATTTGTAGTAACTGTAATAGTTGATAGAAGAAACGAATTTGTATTCAGGTTCCATTTTTTTTTTTTTTTTTTTTTTT